ACCGATACCCTTCCTTGGTGCAACAAATGCAGCTACCATCATCATACTCCTAGACCATGTCGCGAAAGACTCTACAGCAATTGTGGCAAGAAGGGTCACCTTGCTCGAAACTGCAGAAAGCCAGTCCAATCAACCAACCAATCCTCCGGAGCAGGTGTCAGTCGGCCTGCTACGGTTGCGGCGAAGTAGGGCATTTCAAGAGAAATTTCCCTAGAGCAGCAGCAACTGGCAACGCTATAAGAGTCCTAGCTATAGGAAAAGGTGAGACAGCTGCTGATCCCATCGTTACCACAGGTATATTCTTCCCTAACAACCCTTACACTTGCAAACTTTTTTGATTATATTGTTGAAAGAGAATCCGTTATTTATTCAATCAAACATTATTGTAACCACCGAAAAGTTCAAACAATTTAAATTTTTTCAAAAACAAGCCGATTTCATTAAATTATTACAAAAAGGTTTTCAATACAAATCATTTAGAGTATTCCCCAAATCTCATTGCTACAAAATCATGAGGAGCGGTACGATCATGCCTTCGCCTTGCCACAGTCTCCTGAAGAGCCTGAAAAACATTAAACCACAACTGTAAGCCCGAAGCTTAGTGAGATACCCCCAAAATACCAACCACATATACCATACACATAACATGCTATCTCATAACGAATCACAGAACAGCCATGCATATCGGGTCTACTGTGGGACTGGTCCGCCTTGTAGGGCCTTCAGTCCACCTGGTCCACCCTCCGTGTCCAATCATGTCCCTCGAGCTGCAGTGTGGTTGGTCCGCCCGCACTGACCTTCAACTCACCTGGTCCACTCTCTGACTCTACAGTATGACTGGTCCGCCCGCATCGGGCCTTCAGTCGGCCTGGTCCACTCTCCGAGCCTCGGCACGTCTGGTCCGCCCTCGTGGGGCCTACAGCCTATCCGGACCACTCGCTGGGCCTTCGGAATAACCGGTCCGCCCTGGGTATCTTGGCCTACAACACGAAGCAGGACCCGCCTCAACCCAACTCCAGTCCAAACAACCATGTGCACATAAACAAGCAATCACATAACAATTCATATTCAGGCAACCGATCTAGCAGATCACATATCACAACATACTCTAACAGGATACCGACCTAACCGGTCACTAGCATAGCCTCACCCTACATACCAGGATACCGACCTTAACCAGGTCCCTAACGAATACCATCCTAACTACCAGGATGCAAACATATCAAAGCAATAACATAACAACAGATACCCGGATCTCAATCCGATAAAAGGGCCGCCTTGGTGCCTTAGACCCTGTTGATATAGTGAGGATAACTCACCTCGAAACTGCCGGCTGAAAGGATAAGATCCCGCTGCTCCGAACTCCGACACGAACTCCTCCACTGAACACCAAAACACTCAACTCAATATATACCCTTAATTACCAAAATACCCCTGGAAGACAACTGGTCAACCTTGGACAAAGTCAAAGTCAACCCCCTGACTCTACTCGCCGAGTCAACCCGATGACTCGCCGAGTCCCTATGCTCAGAACTTCCCTCAATCCGCGACCCAACTCGCCGAGTCACCCCGAGACTCGCCGAGTCCAACAACTCTGAGTCCACTCGCACCCAACTCACCGAGTCATCCCTTGACTCACCGATTCTCGACTCAACCAGAAAATATTGGGACTCTTCGACAAGACTCGCCGAGTCCAAGAACAGACTCGCCGAGTCTAAGGCTATCTTCAACCTACTCGCCGAGTTGTTCATCCAACTCGTCGAGTTCCAGCTCATCTTCAAGCAACTCGTCGAGTCACCCATGTGACTCGCCGAGTACCACCGGTCTGAATCCATACAGAAGCATTCCAGGCCATGCAATTGATCCAAAACATAGATCTAGCCTCCTACAATCCATCCATCACGTAAAGTGGCAAACTTTACGTGAATCCAAAGAGATCTAGGCCTTATTCACTTTAGAGCTAGGGTTTGGGACATGATAGCTTCACTAAGCACTCAAACACAGGGACTTTAATGCTCTCTAGGCCTTCCCCATTTCAGATCTGAGGTAGCAACCTCAGATCTAACCTCCAAACTCTAAAACATACAAGATAAGCTCCCCATAAACCCCAAAATGATGAATCCATATGAGTGATAGCCCAAGAACGAGATATTACCTCAAAAGAATGCCCCAACTGCAATGAAACTCGAATCCAAGCAAAGCCCTTTGATCCAAGCCTCTTCTCCTTCAAGATTTCTTCAACAAACACCTCCCCAAGCTCCAAATGCACTCCAATCTTCTTCAATCATGCTTTCTAGGGTTTCTTGACTTCAAGGGGGATCAAAGAGGCTGGGGAGAGGATATAATGTTCTTTAAATAGGGCTCATTCCCCAGATTTAGGGTTTTCTCCACTCAGCACCTACTCGCCGAGTCCATCTTTGGACTCGCTGAGTAGGCCACTTGACTCGCGACCAAAGTTGCGACCCTACTCGCCGAGTCCATCCATGGACTCGCCGAGTTGCCCTTCAAAATTCACACTTTTAGTCCTTCAACTCTACTCTTGCTATTCTGGGATGTTACTGCACTCGGAAAAGTGAATATACCCTTGAGGGTATATAAACTTAGGTACCCAATCCACCATAATACATCGTTTTGTTTGACATATTCCTTATATTGTTCTTAAACGTCAACCCTAACTTGATTTACTTTTAATATTTTCGAAATTTCATTATTATCTTCCTCTTACATCACATCTTTTTGTCAAACACCTTCTAAGCTATATATATTATAATTGAAAATGAAATTTATGTAAGAAGAAAATAAATACGAAATTTATAAAAATCTTAGAAGTAAATCAAGTTAGAAGTTGAATTAAAATAGCCTTAAATAATTACAATGTATATTATGATGAGTTTGGGTACATAAGCTTATATACCCTTAAGGGTATATTCACTTTTCCATATATATATATATATATATATATATATATATATATATATATATATATATATATATATATATATATATATATATATATATATATATATATATATATAGGGCTGTAAACGAACTGAACGTTCAGCGAACAGTTCATGAACCGTTCGGCGGGAATTTCGATTATGTTCGTTTATTTAATAAATGAACGAACACGAACATAAATTCTTGTTCGTTTAGTTAAACGAACGAACATGAACAATGGTCTCGTTCGTTCAATTATGTTCGTGAACGTTCGTTTATGTTGTTCATTTAAGTTCGTTTATGTTTGTTTATGTAAGTTCATTTTATATTCATATAAGCTTAATCGTGTTTGATTACATTACTATATTATATGTTCAATTATATTTTTTTTATCTTTGTTTGTTTACGTTCATTCGTTTATGTTCGTTTAACTTGTTCATGAACATAAACGAACGAACATAAATAATGCAATTTGTTAAACGAACGAACATGAACAAAAAAACTCGTTCGTTTATCCGTTTTTATTCGTTCATTTGTTCGGCTAACTTAAACGAACAAACATGAACAAGCCCCCGTTTGTGTTCGATCGATTCGTTTACAGCCCTATATATATATATATATATATATATATATATATATATATATATATACACTTTTACAAGGTATATAAGCTTAGATATTCAAATTTACTATAGTATATCGTTTTGCGTGATATATGCATTGTAATCGTCCAAAGTTCTTAAAATTAAACTCCTAACTTGATTTGCGTTCAAAAATTTTAGAAATTTCAAAATTATTTTCCTCTTATATAGTTTTCATTTGCAACTATAACATGTATTGTTTGGTAGGTATTCTGCAGAATGATATGATTTAAGAGGAATATAATATTGAAAATTTGAAAATATTGGAACTAAATCAGGTTAAGAGTTAAATTTTAAGAACATTGTAATGCATATATGATACAAAACGATGTAGTATGATGAGTTTGAGTACCTAAGTTTATATATATTGTAGAGCATCTTCACTATTCTATATATAATATATATATATATATATATATATATATATATATATATATATATATATATATATAGTATGTTCAAATGAGAAAATAAAAAAAGGTTTAAAATAAGGGAATCATTCTCAGCTAATCATTTATTTTTGCAGCAAAACGCTCCAACGTACTAAGCCAACGGAAGATGAGTAATATTCATATATGAATATAAATATAAGTGTATTTATATGTGAATACACCACCTCCCCCCCCCCCCCCCCCCCCCACCACCACTACCACCACCACTAAAAAAGCATTGATCAGATGTATATTGTATTTTTGAGTATCATTAATTTCCTAGTCCGACTATATTATTCTAATTTCACAAATAAGGAATAGAAGGGCATTGATTAACTGTATTTTAGATTTTTGAGCATCGATCAAAGTGTTTTCATAAATATCATAAAGAGGTGTTGAGCATTATGAAAAATGTCTTTGAATATCATTTTCAAATTTGATGTTGAAGCATATATTCATTTATGAACATATGTTAATCTGCTTGTTTATGTGAATTTATCTAGTTTTGAAGCTCATTCATTTATGAACATATATTAATCTTGTTTATGTTCATTTATCCGGTTTGAATCATGAGTTTGTAGGTATACTACTTGATATTACCTTGGTGCCCAATGTATGAATTGAACAAAGAAGAAGAAAAGAACAAGAACGACGAATTACTTTGTGAACTTTATTTGCTCGAAAAAGTTAACTTAAACATCCTAAACATCAACCTTATTTATACTAATACAACTAAACTGCTACTCTAATACAAAAACCGCATAAAATGAATGTTTCCTAAAATACCCCTATAACTAAAATTGTCCCAGATTTCCTCTTGTGATAAACCGATTGATCCAACAATCACCCCTAAATCGGTTTGTCCACGCCTATCACTTACAATTGTGTTTATCCGCCTTTAACCACCGACGAACACAATCACATTCACAACCTTTGTTCATTGTTGACCTACCGGATGCTTCAGCTGCAAAACATGTCGACAACAGTTGCTTTAAGCAACACCATGTTCAACATTTGAATACCGAGAGCCACCTGCTATCATCATCACCAAACCACATACAATCTTGTTGTACCTTGTTCCAGCAACCTGTTTTACCAACGCAACAACCACCGTGATTCTCGACCTTACTCGGACACCCGACCTCCACCTCGGTCACGTCCAAAGTCCTCCATACCTTGTTATTATTCACAACATATGTAATATGTAACACAACATCCTGTTGGATACATTCATTACCATCTAGTATTTTTCCCGGATTCACGATCTCTCCCCAGCCATATCCAAAGCCACCCGATTTGAATTTCCACCGCCATAATGTCCACACAGTGTTGTTTGTCTATTCCCTTCTTGTCTTGAAATCCATACCTTTGCTGATCAATCATATTCCGAGAGATTCTTCCAAAGAACGCCCTTGATTCAACCATATCACATATATCGTGTGCATCCATAATCAACTTGACTTTGATTCCCCACACTGGATAATTTGTTGGAGTCAAAATCTGAACTTGAAACATCATCAAACCTCCTTCTTTAACCAACTACATCTTATTCTCCTTTTGACAACCCCAACCTAATCAAACTTGTTTTGAGAGCACTTTTCCACTGAAATACAAGACAAGGTCACGACCACCTTTATCATCTTCCGTCACCTACAAAACAAACCGAATCAAAGCAACCCGATTTGACGTCTTTCCGCCCATTTATTCTGTGCCTCTAGTTAGTCTCTCTCTACCCTAAAACAAGCTCGATCAATAGAAATTGGGGCTGCCGTAGAGAAGCTTCAACTCGCGCTAAAAAACAATCCACACCCCCTTAAACCGAACTTGGTTCCCGTTGCGTTTTCCCCGCAGCGAAAGTTCACAGTTTTCTTGAAACCGAATCTCAAATCAGCCTCCCTACGCCTTCATGAGCCCTAGGCTCTGATACCAAGTGTAGGTATACCACCAGATATTACCTTGTTGACCAATGTATGAACTGAACAAAGAAGAAGAAAAAAATAAGAACAACGAATTACTTTGTGAACTTTATTTACTGGAAAAAGTTAACTTAAGCATCCTAATCACCAACCTTATTTATACTAATAAAACTAGACTCCTACTTTAATACTAAAATTACATAAAATGAATGCTTCCTAAAATACCCCTATAACTAAAATTTTCTTAGATTTCCTCTTGTGATTGTAAATCCCTAATCTACCTGTGTATCAGTCAGATTCGTTTGATGGTGCGGAATCCCAATTAAACGGATGATATCAGATAAAATAAGAAGAGAAGGAGAAGAAGAATAATATGAATCTTTGTATGTATTGATATGAATTATGATCCGAATACAAAAGATTCACATACACATAAAAGCTCATGTTTTACTCTGGCCGTAAACTCCTTCTAGTTCAACAACCTTTACTCCTCACCCTAACACCTCTATTTATACTTGAATATGGGTCGGACATACATCGGCCGTAAATGAGTTTACGGCCGTAAACTTAGCCGTAAACTAGGCCATAAATTCATAAATATTACACAAAAATATAATTGCCCAGAAAAGTAAAGTATAAACCATATTTTGACCCAACAATCTCCCCCTTGGTTTATAGCTTTCTTTTCTTAATTGATCCAACAAGCTCCCCCTAAAAACTAGCTGGCTTTCTTGATAATCTTCATTGGGAGCTTTGGCTTCAGCTTTAATCTTCAAATTCATCACAACATCACGATGAGCATATGAATCTTTAATGAATGACTTCATCTTGAGCAATTGAGCCTTTCTTCAGAATTTGGCATTGAACGCACATTGGGTGAGGAGGCTTGACGTACTGATTCTTGAAAGATAGCGCTTTCAGCTTAAGAATCTTCAGAGAAAACATCAGAGAGAAAAAATCTTATGGATCACTTCAGCAGGTACAACGATAGCAGCAGACTGATTGAGAAGGCTTCAATGCAATCCATCACATAATCTTCAATTTCAGCTTCACCTTGCTTCTGGGGTTGAAAGATTGAATGTGAAAGAATAATCTTCATTTCTTGCTCCTTCAAATGAGAATTCTTTGATGCTTATAGACGAAGCTTTTGGCTCAGAAATCTTCAACACAAACTCCATGAGTTTCATCTTCACATGAAATCACTTTTCAAGACAAAACAAAACTAAAAGAAAACTTAGCACACAAATTAAAACGAAAACAAAAATATTTTTGGATTTTTTATTATTTTTCTGAACAAGAAACTAAACACAAATAACACTATTTTGGATTTTTAATTTTTCTGATTTTTCTTTGTTATTTTTATTTTCATTATTTTTAATTTTTCCCTAATATTTAAACTAGAAGAAACTATGACAAATTTAACAAAAAAAAAATTGATATCTAACTTTAAGACTGATTTGGGATCAAAGCTTTTAGACAACCTTTATCCACTTGTCGGTACCTTCTATCTTCACGTCTTTGTCTGGTCGATCGTCGGTATTGTGGTCCACTTAAACACGAAAAATTGTGACAAATTTAGGACATACTATTTGTTACAAGACAGGATGAACTTAAAATCCTAAAATTACATCTGATCCTAATTTCTTAGATACTATATCTTAAAGACTATTCAACTGACGACGACCATGGATATTGTTGCCCACCTAAATCGACCAGCGAGATCTACAGACAATTTGTATTTGTTCAATTTTAAGTGTACTAGAACGTGTTTCCCACTTCCTGATATGCCCCAGCCATCAAGAACTTCCAGAGTACTCCTTACACCGGGTGAGCAGACAATCATTCAAAGAGAAGATAGATTCAGAATTCTATAACTTATTACTTTAGAGGGGTTGAGAAGTAGAATGTTGCATATGCTGTGTACCAGATCGGATTTGAAGTCACGCAAAGGAGACAACATATGGCTAACAGATAAGAAGAATTTCATATATATAGCATGCAGAGAGATAGAGTTGCATATGTTGCAATCCAGGTCGGATCTCTTCCAATCACGCAAAGGGTGCAACATATGACTAACAAATAGAGAGAAAGAAAATGATATTCTACAGACCTAATTTATCGGAATCTACCAGTCGCCCCCATCCAACCGGAATTAAGGACAGAATCCGCACATCGAGGAAAAGTTAAACCACGGTTCCAAGTACGGGTTCATTTAATGTGACGAGTAGATTCCCATATATATCTCCCTGCTCAACCTATCTGAGCGTTGTATTGTCAGGCTGAACGTATCTAACTAGGTCAAGATTTGTGAAGTCTATAAATTTCCTAAGTTCAACTCTGTCTAGTCAAGTCCATTTAGAATCTTTCGTGCCTACCGACGCATCAAACCAGAGCATAGACACTTCAACTTCGGGTACGTTACGCAAACTTAGGTTGCCTGTTATCACTTGATAATTTCATTTCCCAAAACATCTCCCTCAAGCACATTTCATTTACACCATTTTTTTTTAAATTTTCTAATTTTGTAATGTTTTTGGATTTTTTTAATTTTTTAATTTTTGTTTTGTTTTTATTTCTCCCCCTAAATTTGTGCATAGAAGAGAAACGAAAGTAAATGCGCAAATTTAAACTATCCTAAAACAAAAATTAGTCTTTAAAGCGAATCAGTTTAAGAAAAACACAGGAGTATAGAGAGGAAAACGCAAACCGTAATTCACCGATTGAATCTGCATCCAGAAGGTCTGAGAACAGCACGCGTAATCTCATAACAGATCCGAAGATTCTTTACGTCATTAAGCACTAACCCCGTGAGTGATCACTTCTTTTCTTCCCTTCCCGCAAAGGACACATACTCCCAAACTATGTTCTGAGTGTTGTACAGTTGAGAAATGCCTCCTATCATGTGCCTAGAACAACTACTACCAACACACTGAAGTCTGATGATATACCTCCATAGCTGCTCCGACACAGAGCGGGATTAGTTGGTCTTTGGAACCCAGTCCATTTAAAAACTGGGTCGACCTTTGTCATCCTTGCACATTACTCTCTCCCATGACATGTCCTGTTTATCACAAACAGAAGACATAGAAATATTAGAATCGTTAGTTGATTTGGGAGATTGAGCCTTTGGAACCCATTTGTAGTTGGATTTAACCCATTTCTTTTTCGATCTGATGGGTGGCTCAGTGCTTGCTTTTGATCTTGATGTCGGCCGTTGACATGACTTTGACCTAACCGGTCTTTGTTTTACTGGATCATCTCTTGGATTGGGCTTGTTGGCCGACATTTCCTTATTGCCCTTGGGATTCGGATGCTTGGCCTTAGGAGTTGAATTTTTGGCCTTCTGCGCGTTCCAGTCATCATTGTCTGAACGTGACCTGGAAGGGTTTCTTTTGAAGTATCTCCCACTTGGCGTGTTTTTCCATCCTTGTGCGTAGTAGGGAACATACGCGCTATTAGGACAATTTCTGGCAATGTGTCCAGGTGTTCCACAGTGAAAACATGTCCTTTTCTTCACCGGGGAGTTGTCTCTTCCTGCCCTTGGTGACATATCCTTGCCTTGTCTCTTGCTTTTTCCACACGCACAGTTGCAACAGGCACTTTGTTTAGCTTGAAATTGTGGCTTGTATTTACCAACGGGAGGTTGATTAGAAGCAACAGATTCAGAGTTGAAGGGGTCGTTTGTTTGTTCAGAAGAACTCTCCTTGTTCTCATCCTCTGTTACTTTGCCTGCACAAGAAGTAGCAACATTAGAATCTTTAATATTAATAACTCCTCCTGACACAAAACCAACTCGTTTTCCATATTGAAGATGTGGCTCCCTGTCAGTTTCGTCCTGTGTCATAGGGATGAATGTGTAGTTATGATTATAAGGAGGAGGTACACTATCATACCCTAGATCCTTGTTTTGATTTTATTTGAATTTTAATTGGGTTTCATATAAGGACTCGACTGTCTGACTTGACACAATATAATTTTTGAAACTGACATCAGTTTTTCCACACTTGATTTTTAAAGCGCCAAGTTCTTCAGTTACAGCAACAAGTTGTCTCTTAACATAATCATAATTTTCACACTTGTTGTTATACTCTTCCTGAAGTTTCCTAAAGTCCTTGGTTTTAGCTTCTAACTCAGCCTTCAGGGGTTTCTGTCCATTCCTGACTTGATATCCTTCATATCTCAGGTCTTCAAATTCTCTTTTAAATATATTAATTTGTTCCCGAAGAAATTTAATCGTGGCTTCACAAGCTGGAGTACATGTAACTTCAGTGACCGGAATGTTTTCAGAACTCATTATTTCTCTACACTTCAAAGCATCAAGTTCTTGAATAACATCAGCAAGACTAAGATGATTGAGATCTTTTGTCTTCTTGATGATGGCCACGTTCATATCCCACGATTTCGGAAGTGAGATTAGCAACTTTTTGTTTATCTCGGACTTAGTGAAGAAGATCCCGGCTATATTCATCTCAGTAGTGAGTGTAGTAAATCGCTGCAACTGAGTTTCGAGCGTTTCTCCAGGGATACAATCGAAAAAGTTGAAATTTTGTCTTAACGTCTCCTGACGACTCTCTTTCATGATTTCAAATTCCCTCGTAG